CAACCTCCACCAGTTGAGCCATTATTAATATGCTATTTTCCTGAGCATTACAGAACCAAATATTCAATAAAATTATTCCTGTCTTATCAAATAACCATTACATTTATGCCCTTTTCAACTTTGTTTTGTACTGAGAAATACAACTTATAACTGCCACTCTCAATTCAACAGCAAACATTACAAATGTGATGATGAATCACTGTGGTGGGTTACCCTTGGCTGGACGCTGGGTGCCCACCCAGTCGCTCTATCATTCCCCTTCCCAGGTGGACAGGGGAGAGAGTAAGGTGGAAAAACAACTCGTGGTTTGGGATAAGGCGCTTTATTTAAAGTGAAAGCAAAGTAGAATCTTGTGCATGCAAAAGCAAAGCGAAAGCCAGCAGGGTTTATTCTCTACTTCCCAGTAGCAGCAGTCACTCCCGAGAAGCAGGGCTTCAGCACGGGTAAGGGTTCCTCAGCAGGCAGCCATCAGACAATGAATGCCTGCCTTCCAGCTCCTTGCCTTAGCTTTTATATCTGAGCTGCATCATATGGTACGGAACATCCTTTTGGTCAGTTTGGGTCAGCTGGCCTATTTGGGTCCCCTCCCAGGATCTTGCCCTCAGCTAAGGAAGGAATGTTACAGTGTTGGTGCTGTGCTCAGCAGTAGCCAAAACACTGATGTGTTATCAACACCCTTCTAGCTGCCAGTGTAAAGCACAGCACTGTGAGGGCTACTGTGGGGAAATGAACTCCAGCTCAGCCAGACCCAATACAACCATGTAAGTTACAATATGCTGTTAAAGTATGAAATAAGATTTTTCCAAATTTTCTAAAGCAAAAGGTTAGGTATAAACAGAGATGGCAAACAGCAACAAAGCTGACAAACCAAGTACTGAAATTAAGAGATTCACAAATTGGAGATCAAAACCTAAATGCTACCCGCTTTGGAATATGCATTATGTGATTGTGTAATTATTTTCACAGTGCTTTTCTCCATAAATGCCCAACTCTTTTATTAAAGAGGATGGAGTGCCCTGAGTATGAGTCAGCATTCTGTCAGAGGGGCTTACCTTCACGACCTCATCATGCACCTTGCTGTAATTGTATGTTTTCCAGTTACTAAACAGGAAATTTCAGGGAACAAAGAAGTCGTGATTAATGCATTTTACCAGTATTCTGGATTTTACTTCTGCTTCTGGCAAAGAGTGCTTACATAATATGCAACAATTCACAAACTTTTCACTAGGTCTTAATGATGGGAATTTTTATTGATGGGAAGTTTTATGCTTAATTTCCTAGTGTCTCAGCTTCTCACTTCCAAAACCATAGTATGAAGAGGTTGTGAGACCCTTAAGATCAAGTGGTGACAAATGAAAGCTGTCTTCAGACCAAGACTTCAATACCACATAGAAAAATGCCCAAGACATAACAAACTATTAAGTAGTTATTCATTAGGTATTTTCTTACTAGCCCTTAACAAGACAGGGCTGCAAACGGATTACAGTATTATGCAAGCAATATTGTACAGCATACCTAAAGGACAGATTAATAGTACACACACGATGGGGTTTTTTCCCATGAAGAAAAAGTTTCATATGATTGTCTTAATAGAGACCTGCATCACAGAAATGTCTCACAGGATGCAATTACTGCTGTCACTCCATGTTCACCCAATCAACAACTTAAGGGAAAGATTTGGTCCGAGCACTAACTCTCCCCTCAGCAGAAAATAAGAGCAACCAGATCAAAAAGCCTAATAAAATACCATTTTTGTTCAAGGTGCCAGTCCACAACATAAACAAGGTTCTAAAAGGCCAACTAATACATTTCAAATTTGAGTAATTCTGACAAACCCGCACAGTTGGCAAGAAATCAGTCAGTGAAGTGCAGCAAAGTTACAAGTATAGAGTTGTCTCTACAAACTGCTATGACACATCTCTACTGTGAGTAGGTTAGTAAGAAACCAAGATATGAAAAAGAAAGTTTAGAATTGTATGTGGTTAAGCCATCTGGCTTTCTCTCTAGTGTAGAAGGCAGCAATGCAAAGGAGGCTGGTTAGGATAGAGCAAACAGCTATCCAAGATCCAAAGTAGAATGATGTCGTGAAGTACAATTCACTCAGATTAAAAACAGCATTAAGTCCTAATTTATTGAAAATTTATTTTTATCATCATCAGGGAAACACATACTACTGACTACACTCTAAACCAAACTTAAACTTGCATGAGGAAATAAAAAAAATTACAGTCATGCTTTCAAATACAATTTCATGCTACAAGATGACAGCAATCAAAACCCTTCATCCAACGAAACCATCCTATGAGGAAAAAAAACCCTCAAACAACACACACACACAATAGCCATTTCAGAAGCACCCTTGCTGGTTCTTAAGAATTCTTATCAAAACTTCCTATGCACTGCATGCGACCACACACATAGCTCTTAAAAAGAGAGGTAACTATCTTTTCTCAAACCCTGAAAACAAAACTATGAATTCCATTGGATCACTACTAGGAACAAGTTTCCAAAATAAACCTTTGCAAAGAAGTGCTACAGTTACCTAACGTAAATGTCACACAGCAGAAACTTTCTGCCTGTTTTCATGCAGAGTAGTTTAAACCCTTTAAATCCCGAATAAAATGGTGAATATTCAACAATACCACGACTATCTCTACTGTATAATAATCCTCTCCACCAAGTTTTTGAAACCCATTTTTATAAGGCAAACACATCAACACTATGATTAGGACAGAACTAAGTGGATTTAGTATAGCTCTTAGGATAAGTTTTATCTTAGGATAAGAGCATACATGCAGAATACTTCCTGCTGGAATGAATTTAGGCTTTCCTCTCTTCTCTTGCTGCTTCTCTTCTCCTCTCCCTCTTCGCCCCCCCCAGCAAAAGAATCTCTTTTCCTTTTCCTAGACCCACTTCCCACATAGCACAAAAAAACTCCTCCCTGTGAAGTGATGACCTCATGCTCCTAGCCCATCTCCTTGTATGGAGCAACTCCGGGCTTGCTGCCAACTTTCTACGCCTTCAGCCTGACACTGCAACATACCTTCCTTCACCCTGCTGCTTCCCAGCTGAGGGAATATCCCATCGAGGACAGGCAAATCGGGCAGGGAGAGGAGGTCTCCTCACGGACAAAGAACAGACCACTAGATGTCTGCCCCACAATCATGTCTGGCACAAACCTACTTCAAGTCGACAAAGCACCTCTGCTCTCCCCTGCAGCAAGAATGACACTGAACTATGAACATTTTAAGTATGGAAAAACATCCTATCCAACTGTAGTGTGACTTGCCCCCCACAGCCAAATCTTGCTTCCCGTTATTCTCCTTAATCCAGTGAAGGAAAAGTCACCTCTACTTCTCCCTTAACGTAAACCCATCTTACCTTCCTTTGCAGCTCCCTAAAGTTCCCCAGCCCGTTCTATGGCCTGTCTTTACTTTCAAGTACCAAATCATTTCTAAATGATCACTTTATACATTGGCAATAAAAACATCAACTGATGAAGGACCTCTCTCTGAAACATTCAGCTGTGACATAAAGTTACTGTAGAAAATCAAGAAAGGTGATGGATAATTGAGATTTTGCTTAGTTAAATAACCTTGCACATACAGGACCTGATATTCTCCTTCAAAGAAATATCTCCCAACCCTTTTGGGGTTAGCATTCCACACGTGAATATTTTAAAGTTGTAACAGTACTAACATTTTCTGTCAACACACTAAAAAGGAATCTATAAAATGATAAAACATACATTGGTGTCACCAACAATAATTATTACTGTATAATCGTCAATTGTTTACAATTTGCTTTGACTGTGAGTGTGAATGTCCCATCTCCTGGAGTCTTCCAAAGACTAGCACTTACATGTAGTAAACTGTATCACCAATTTCTTTATTTCTTTAGCAGGTAAAATTAACTTAAAATAATACCCAGCAGATTGTTTTGGTCAAAAAGTTTCACGTCACCCAGATTTTTTTACACATCACAACTTCTCAAAGGAAGCACCATTAGACACAGCACAGCATCAAAGTCACTTTGAGCAGGTCTGTTTTCAAAGCAGGGAAAAGTTATGTCACCTACTTAAAAGGCAATGAAATACCATCTTGTAAACAGAAAACGAGTTGGCTCGTTTAAAAGTCTAACAAAACCCCAGATGTCTGTGTCACTTCCAGAGGCGTATGCTTACCCGAAGTCAAACCGAACAGAAACATATTTCAACACGACAGGGGATGTCTAATGCCTTTCTATGTACTTAATTGTCAAACACTGAAGATGTGAGTATTTAGTATCCCTGCAGACACCAAAAGCACAAACACACAAAGCACTAAAACGCGCAGGAAAAGCGCCAGGGCAGCAGGACTGGGAAGGCCCCACCGTGCGGGCTCCAAATCCAGTGTAGGAGTTAAGAACACCAGCGCTGCCACGGGAGGAGGAGGAAGAAAGAAGAACAAAAAAAACCAGCCCAACCCAAACCTGCGGGGCTGTTACATCTACTGGGAAGGGGCGAGGCGCAACATCACAGGGTCGGGCCACCGCTAGTCTCGGCACAAACCGGAGCACGCGACGGGAACACACAGGGCGGGCACCAAAGAAAGGAGACCGGGCAGAAAAGAACAGGACCGCGCACCAAAGGCACGGCACCAGGCACCGCAGGACCGGGACCGATCCCACCCTGCGCCCCCCGTAAGCCGGGCCGGGGGGGCGGGATCGGCTGTGCCGGACCCGCCGGGGCGGAGCCGCCGCCGGCCGAGCGGCGCCCCTGACGCCGCCGGGGCCGCCACCGGATGCGGCCGCCGCCGCCCCGCCAGGGCACAACGAGAGCGGCGCCGGTGCCCGCCCCGCCCTCAGGTAGAGCCGGAGCAGGGCCCGCCCGCCCCACTGAGTCGGCCGAGTGTCCCAGGTGTCCCAGAGTATCCCGAGCGTCCCGGGTTGTTCCAGGTGTCGCGGTGCCCGGCGGGGGCGGCCCCGACCCGGCGGGCGCCCCCCGTGCGGACGGTCCGTACCTGACAAGCCAAGCCCCCCCCGGCTGCTGCCGCCGCTGCCGCCGCCGCCGCCGCGCGCGCGCGTCACGGGCCCCGCCCGCCCTGCGTGACCCGCGCGGGCCAACGGGCGGCGCGCGGCCCCTCTCCTGCCCGGCCAATCGCGGCCCGGTCCGCCTCCCTCGCGCCGTGACGCGCTCGCGGAGAGGGGCGGAGGGGGCACGAGCGCCACCGGCACCGCCCCTGCCGCGCGCGCTCGCCCCAAGTATCCAGGCAACGCCGATCCCGCGTCCCCGGGCCCACCGCGGGACGCCGGTGGTCGATCCGGGAGGTGTAGGTGCCGATGTGAGGCTGAGAAGTGGCAAATGCCGAGAAAGGAACTCCTGAGAAACGGGCATGACGGGCAGATGGACAAGAAGTCCCCCTCCGTCAGGGAGAGGCAGCGAGAAGGACGTACACACACACAAAAAAAAAAAGAAATAAAGAGAAAGAGACAAAAAGAAGAGGTGGAGAGGAGAGAAAGAAGAAGGGGTGAAAGAAAGAAGAGGGAAAAAAGAAGAAGAAAAAAAAAAGGGGGTGAAAGGAAAAGAAAGAAGGGAGAAAGAAAGAGAGGGAAGGAAAAAAAGCAGGAAAAAGAAGAGGAAAAGGGGGGGAAACAGAAGGGGTGAAAGGAAGGAGAGAAAAAAGAAGGGTGAAGAGAAAAGGGAGAAAAAATAAGAGAGAAAAGCAGGGAGAAAAATAAAAAGGAGGGGAAGAAGCAGGAAAGAAGCAAAAAAGAAGGGGAAAACGGGGGGGAAGAAAGGGGAAGATGAAAGGGGAAGATAAAAGGGGTAAGAGAAGGGGAAAGAAAAATAAAAAAGTGGGAGGGGAAGGAAAAAAGGTAAAAGGAAAAAATGAGGGGAAATGAAAAAAATAAAATTAAGAAGAAAAAAAGGAAAAAAGAACTCAAGGAAAAGAAAGAAAAGCTATTATTGTGACACTACCTTGATAGGTTTAGGGAAAACCCATGAATGTTAATTTTTTTTTATATTATCTTTTGCAATAGATTATGCTCAAACCAATTTAGAAAAGCAATGTAATGAAGTAGTAATAACGAAGTGTGGGAACACAATCCGTTTCATACATACAGAAGAGCCCCTTAACAGGTTAAGTTACAGATAAATATCTTTCTTGAGAATTTGCCGGTCATTGGTATTTAGGAAGGAGTTTAAAAAACAAGATGTGCACAGAGCAATCATATTCCTATCCATGGCTTCTTTTTAGACCAGAGTGTTTAAAGAGATGTAGTGAAACTTTTGCTGTGTGCAGTTTTCCATCTCTTTTTAAGATGTTCATGCCTTTGTCTTCCAAAACAGCTTATAGAAAAAATTTCCTTTATTTATCTGTTTATCAAATAAGAAAAAATTACATTCCTTTGTACCTCATCTGTATGCACCTTGAGGCAAATTGAGACCTATATACAGTTAGAAAGAAGTTTGCATGATGAAGGAAGAAAAACCTATGTAGCTTTATTTGAAAGTGGTGGTTTAAGATGTAATTTACATTAGGATATTTCCAACCATGTTAGAGTTGGGATAAAAATCTTAGATGCAAATACTGAATTCAGTACAAGAAGTCATCAATTACAAGGTTTTATGACAAATGCAGGTGCAAACAGCCTGATTCAGTTTTGCCTCAGCTATATTCAGACATAAACTATTTTATTTGTCAAATATCTTGTTAGTCTCATATACCTATGAAAATATTGAATGATTTTTCTCTACCGTTTGGTAACTTAGCTGACCTTGACACCCTTTAATTTGGTGAAAACTGGTAGACAATGGTACGAGGGTAGAAAAGCCTCTCCTCACTAGTTTTCTGATTAGAATTTTTTAAAATTTATTGAAGAACCTACTTGATTTTTGAGAAAGAATTCTATGCAATTTTTTTTTGTAGCAAGGGGGTTTTTTCCCAAATCTTTCATATCTTTTGAAGATGAAAAGGAGATAGGCCTATACTGTAGTCACTGCAGTGTAGTGTAGAGATATATAAAATATTCTGAAAATCAAATTGTTAACTTTATATAAAAACATTCAACTATTAATTGGATACACAAAGCTTTAAAAGTATATCAAAGTATTGCAATTAAAATCCAAATTAGCAACTTTGTTTCTAAAAGGACACAGATCTTCATCCTTTTCTCTCCTCCCTGTCCCAGTCTTCTGGTTCTGCACGCATTCCTTCACTCAGCCCAATACATGACTTCCTCTGCCCTTTCCTACCAGGCCTGACGCAGGGCCCACTGCCTAACACCAGAAGCAGAGAGGTTACGTCCTGCAAGTATCCAGAGAAGATGAAAAGGATCAGGGAAATGGATGTGCTCTTGCTTCAGCACATTGTGTCAATCCCTGGATGTACTTTCTTTCAGCCTTTTCACTTTGCTCCTGTAGCAGGATGGTCTGCCTAAGCAGGGGGAAAACAGCTTGAACTTGACCCTATGTACAAAAGCCATCTGTGGTGGATGGAGAAGGGGCCTCGTGCTGCTTTTGGTGTTGAATGAGATCGACTTGAGATCATCAACCCCAAAGTTAAATGTGCTGAGAATGTGGAGATCAAGGTTTCCTCACAGAAACTGGCACAGGGAGGTATGTGGCAGATGAAGTTCCTGATAAAGGAACCAAAAAGTGATGCTTCGATAACTTATCTAAAGCTGCTGAGCTGATACAGCCAGCCTGGAGACATCTGACTGACAGTCAAGCACTTTATACTTTAAAAGCCCAACCTCTCTTTTAAGGAGAGGGAATTCTAACACACCCTTTCTTGCAGCATGTGTGAAGATTCCGCTCTTGAATGGGGACACCCCTCAGGGTTGCTCCTCAAGGCTAAGCCCGTGGTTGTTGGTATGGGTGAGTAACATCCATCTCTACTTAATAGTTGTTTTACCAGCTTTGATATTGTTCCTTCAATATTGCTTCATAAATTGTACACTATACTAGTAATTATAACTATCTACACTGTGTAGTAATGAATTCTGATTAAGGTTCCTTAGACTAAGCATTATTATAATCAGTTTAAATATGTAATTTTTCTTTATTGGTTTGCTATCCTTAACTCTGCAGAACAAAGCTGTGTAAAGGTTTGATTACATCTATACCTTCAGACGTAAACTGTTGACCAACAGCAACTGTCCAGTAAAAATACATAAAGAAATCAGTTAAGTATCCTGGATCTTTCTTCACCTCTCACATGACCCATCTTCTGTAAGCTCATGCTTTAATTTCTTCTGGCTTTCCAGTTACGAGAGAATTTTCAGTCTTTCTTTCATAATCTCTTCACCCACCATTATGAACCTAGAAATATCAGGGATTTCCTTCTTACATGGTAAAAATCTTGTCCTATTCAATTAAGCTCTATATTTCAAGAATCCTTTTCCATTTGTTCCTCTGTTTGCTGAAACTCTTCTGGCGCACTACGAGTCTATAATTGAGTCAACACATTTTCATAATTTTTGATGCTTCTTTTCTACCTTTGTCTAATTTCTTTGTTTATGGCTCATTGCCTAAGATTTCTGTATGTGCCATGCAAGTTTTTTGCTCTATAGTGCTAGTACTCATGTTGAAAAATCTTGAAGTTATTCTTAGGGAACAGATACTGTAACATTATATTACTTCAAGAATTATAACAATTTTAAGTTAAATTACATGCCCAGAAAGGAAATATAAATGCAGGAAATAGAGAGAAGGGAAGTTCCTCATTATCATTCCCTCAAAATGCTGAAGTAAAATGGGAGTTGTTGCAAAACTCAACATGGACTTTAGCAAAGCCTTTGACACCGTCTCCCACAGCATTCTCCTGAAAAAGCTGACAGTCCATGGTTTGGACAGGGGCACTCTGTTCTATGTTAGGAACTGGCTGGAGGGCCGGGCCCAGAGAGTGGTGGTGAACGGTGCTGCATCCAGTTGGCAGCTGGTCACTAGTGGTGTCCCCCAGGATCAGTGTTGGGCCCAGTTCTGTTTGATATCTTTATCGATGATTTAGATGAAGGGATTGAGTCCATCATCAGCAAATTTGCAGATGACACCAAGCTGGGGGGGAATGTTGAACAGCTGGAAGGCAGGAGGGCTCTGCAGAGGGACCTGGACAGACTGGAGAGGTGGGCTGATTCCAACAGGATGAGGTTCAACAAGTCCAAGTGCCAGGTCCTGCACTTTGGCCACAACAACCCCCTGCAGCGCTACAGACTGGGCACAGAGTGGCTGGAGAGCAGCCAGACAGAGAGGGACCTGGGAGTTTGGATTGACAGGAAGCTGAACATGAGCCAACAGTGTGCCCAGGTGGCCAAGAAGGCCAATGGCATCCTGGCCTGGATCAGGAACAGTGTGGCCAACAGGACCAGGGAAGTGATTCTTGCCCTGGAGTCAGCGCTGGTGAGGCCACACCTGGAGTGCTGTGTCCGGTTCTGGGCCCCTCAGTTCAGGAAGGATATTGAGGTGCTGGAGCAGGTCCAGAGAAGAGCAACAAGGCTGGGGAAGGGACTGGAGCACAAGTCCTATGAGGAGAGGCTGAGGGAGCTGGGGCTGTTCAGCCTGGAGAAGAGGAGTCTCAGGGGAGACCTCATCACTCTCTACAACTCCCTGAAAGGAGGTTGTAGCCAGGTGCGGGTTGATCTCTTTTCCCAGGCAGCCTTCAGTAAGACAAGAGGGCATGGTCTTACGCTGTGCCAGGGGAGGTTTAGGTTGGATATTGGGAAGAAATTTTTTACAGAGAGGGTAATCAGGTACTGGAATGGGCTGCCCAGGGAAGTGGTGGATTCTCCATCCCTGGAGGTTTTTAAGAAGAGACTGGATGTGGCACTTAGTGCCATGGTCTAGTAACCACAGCGGTAGTGGATCAAGTGTTGGACTTGATGATCTCAGAGGTCGTTTCCAACCCAGATGATTCTATGATTAAAAAAATCTCCTAGAGATATACTGAAGAATTCTATCATACACAAGTCAGTAGTACAGAAAAGTTAATATAGATGTATACTCAGACGAAAAGATTGCTAAGAGATGTCTGTGAAGGATAAAAATAATAATTTTTTTTAAAATTCTGTTATC